GGCGGGGGGTAGAGGGTAAGGAGGGGGCGGTGGGGGAGGGGGCGGCGGGGGGCTGACCGTCAGCACTGTGCTACAATGGCCGGCTGACCTTCAGTCGCTTTTTGTTGCCGCTATTAATACGCGCGAACGACGGAGGCGTGTTCATTATGTTTCACTTCGCTTATAGCCACAAACATTCGTGTGCCTTTAATGTTCTCGGACAGACACACACACGACATAGTATACACCGTACAGACACACACACAGTACATATACAAACAGTACACACACACAATGCACACGCACACACAATGCATACACAGCACATCACACACTACTATACATATACACATTACACGCACAGCACACACACGCGCGGTACACACACAATGCACACAGACGCATTACACACACACATTACACACACACACACACACGCGCGCACAGTACATATAGCACGCACACACACACGCGCATACAGTACGCGCACGTACAGTACACGCATGCACACGTGACCGCCGTGAGTGCGTGCGTGGCCATCACCGTTGCCTGGGTAGCGGTTGTCATGGCGACCGGAGGGCGGCGGCGGCAGCACCGAGAATTTGTGGAGTAAAAATAAATAAATATTGCATTCCCGGTGCATCCGCCACTGCGTTCACTCACACAGCAACAACAACAACAACCGCCGTTCACCACCAAGTGCCAGGCTAGGTGCACCTTGAGGACGTCACGTGATGTGTGGAAGGCGCTCGATTGCTGGCAGGAGTGTCACGGGACAGACCCGGGTGCCATGGGGTTGACTGCCGTGCCAGGCTAGGTGCAGGAGGAGAGGGGGTCACGGGACAGACCCGGGTGCCATGGGGTTGACTGCCGTGCCAGGCTAGGTGCAGGAGGAGAGGGGGTCACGGGACAGACCCGGGTGCCATGGGGTTGACTGCCGTGCCAGGCTAGGTGCAGGAAGAAGGGTTCACGGGACAATCCCGGGTGCCATGGGTTGACTGCCGTGCCAGGCTAGGTGCAGGAGGACGAGGTCACGGGACAGACGCAGGTGGGTTGGCTGACTGAGATGACTGGCAGATGCACCAGCTGTGCCCCCCACCCCCCCGACTTTCCTGACTCGCTGCGCTTTAGCCACCCGGCGCTCCGCTCGTTGTTGTGAGCGTCGCTCCTCCGCCCTCCGTTGTTGTTGGAGGGCGACTGCCTCCAACTGCCCAGTAGCGTCCTTCACGAGCCTCCTCCACAGAGGCCGATCTTGACACCGCTGGTACCGGCCATCGGCAAGTCCACTCAGCCTCCACGTCCTCCTGTACCCGCATCAGCCCCATCCCTAGCCCCGTTCCGTGCCCGTTTAGCTGAACGGAATAGACTTACAAAGACAAAGCCCCCCGTATAGCCGTGAATAGACTTGGGGCAAGTGCTGTTAGCGAGCACCTATGAAGGCGGGGCATGACGCACGGGGTGGGGGTCCAGCACTATGCCCAGTCGCCTTTGTCTCCCCCGCGGTGACGTGTACACATGGCAACAGGTACTCGTTTTGGCCCAGAGTAGGGAATCGAACGCGGGTCGCCGCATTTGTAGCGCAGCGCGCAAACCACTGCACCGCCACTCCCCATTGCCTCGTTCTGACCACGCCGCCCTATACACTAACAGCACTTGCCCCAAAAGTATATTAAGGCTGCACGGGGGGGGGGGGGTCTTTGTGTGCGTATCCGCGTGCGTATGTGTGCGCGTAAGCGTGTGCGGGTGCGGGTGCACGCACGCTCCCACGTAGGTTGGATTTACTTTTATCGCCCGTGCCCTTGAGACGCTGATATCGTACCGACGGCCACGGCTGCCTTGTCTCGGACGGACCGTATAAATAGGTGCTCGCTAACAGCACCGGCTGTCGCTATGCGCAAACCAGGCCGGGATTCCTTCCGTGTGCGTACGCGCGATTCAGTTGCCAGCGCTCAGCCCTCCCCACCAAGGTCGACTCCGCCTGAAATGAGCAGTTGCTGCAGCGTGTAAAATGTTAGCACTGGGGAGACAAAGGTGGTCGGGTGTGGTCGGTAGCTACACCACCACCACCACCGCCACCACCGCCGCGCCCTGCGTGCCGAGCCAGCCTTTGTCGGCGCTGGCTCAAGGCACTTGTCCCAACAGCCTGTGTAGTTGATTTGAAGCTTTCGTAACTGCAGCAATCCACACTCTTTGGTTATTTCGGTAAAGTCACGTGGGTAGAAAAAAAGATAATAGATCACGACGTTTCGATCGCAACACGAGAAACCGTCATCAGCAGTTTCTCACCTGATGACGATTGCATTGTGTTGCGATCGGAACGTCGTCATCTATTATAAAAAAAAAATTCTACCTACGTGACTTTACCGAAAGAACCGAAAGAGTATGAGCCTGTGTAGTCTACACGGGGAGTCTTTGTTATTTTTTGGGATAATGGTGATGATGATGACAACAATCATCACCATAATCATCGTCATCTCAAGCCCTCTATACACCTTATAATAATATCATACCTGTCAACCCATACGGTTTACCCGTATTGTTGTACAAGGAAATTGAGTTTTCAGCCGTTTCAATACGGGCACAAAAAATGGTTTGTCTATTTGTGTATCTCCCTTGTGATGGGACTTTGTAGGATGAACGCTGAGATATATAAGGGGCACGGGGTGACCAATAAGGTCTGAATTGGTCTTTAATAAGGTAGGGCACTGATAAGGGGTTGACAGGTATGTAATATCTATGATCATAATGATGATAGTGATGGTGACACCGAGGCTAATAGTGACCGAAACGGTAATCGTGATGATTACGATGCCATTGATGAGAATGATCATTGATCGCCGTGATGGCTTCGGCGATGATGGACACGGGTTGAGAAGAATTGCAGCGACGTTAATCGTGGTAATATTTATATTGTGCTTTGCTCTAATGCCTCGACAACTCAAAACGACTTAAGACCACATCTCAAACATTGAAAGAGGACCCCCCCCCCCCCCCTCCCATAGTGGCAGCTGTCCCTGCCCAGCACGCAGTGTAGCTCAGCGCCTGGCCTTGCAGGCGGGCGTTAGTCTGCCAGTAGGGGGTGGTGATTGCCATGTACGTTGAGCTTCTTTCGCGCCGTACGTAGCCAACCGTACTAATCGGAGGTGCAGTGTTGAGTCTATGGGTAGTGTCAGTCGATGTGAATGTATGTGCAGTTTGTACGTTGAACTTCTTTCGCACCGTACGTAGCCAACCGTGCTAAATGGAGGTGCCGGTGAAGCACAACAAACTAAACTCATAAAGCAGTTCTAATGAAATGAGTTTGTCAATCTAGATGATGATTTAAAAGTGCATCATCGATTTAAAGCTTTCGTGACTGCAAGGATTCATCTTCTTTGGTTCTTTCGGTAAAGTCACGTACAATGAGAATAAAGTAATAAATTGATAAAATAAAATAACACAATAATATTCTCACGACGTTTCGGCCACAACACAAGCGGCCTTCATCAGGTGAAGGGACGAGACTGTTGAAGGCCGCTTGTGTTGTGGCCGAAACGTCGTGAGAATATTATTGTGTTATTTTATTTTATCAATTTATTATTTTATTCTCATTCTACGTGACTTTACCGAAAGAACCAAAGAAGAAGTGCATCATCGCTCCAGCGGATTCCTAATATTGGAAAGAAGAGCGTTCCAGACGGCCACACGATGCGGTGACCACCATCTTTGTTCGATGGCTAACAGCCAAAAGCCGCTGCTGCTGCTGCGGTTTATGCTCCTTAACGAGATCAGCTAAGGTATTGTGGTTCGTTCGTGGCAAGCTGTGTGGTCTAGCCTAGGGGCACCCCCAGTGGCAGCTATCCCTGCACGGCACAACGTGACTCAGCGCCTGGCCTGACCATCGTCACATCATCACAATGACACCGTGCAAGCAACCACACCGACTATGGCGATGACGACGTTGATCGTGCCGACGACCGTGACGACGACGACGATGACGTCGTCGATCGTGCCGACGACGATGACAATGACGTCGTTGATCGTGTCGACGACCGTGACGAAGACGACGACGATGACGTCGTCGATCGAGCCGACGACGACAATGACGTCGTTGATCGTGCCGACGACCGTGACGAAGACGACGACGATGACGTCGTTGATCAAGCCGACGACGACGACAATGACGTCGTTGATCGTGCCGACGACCGTGACGAAGACGACGACGATGACGTCGTCGATTGAGCCGACGACGACAATGACGTTGTTGATCGTGCCGACGACCGTGACGACGACGACGACGATGACGTCGTCGATCGAGCCGCCGACGACAATGACGTTGTTGATCGTGCCGACGACCGTGATGACGACGACGACGACGTTGATCGTGCCGACGATGACGACAATGACGTCGTTGATCGTGCCGACGACCGTGACGAAGACGACGACGATGACGTCGTCGATCGAGCCGACGACGACAATGACGTTGTTGATCGTGCCGACGACCGTGACGAAGACAACGACGATGACGTCGTTGATCGAGCCGACGACGACAATGACGTCGTTGATCGTGCCGACGACCGTGACGAAGACGACGACGATGACGTCGTTGATCGTGCCGACGATGACGACAATGACGTCGTTGATCGTGCCGACGACCGTGACGAAGACGACGACGATGACGTCGTCGATCGAGCCGACGACGACAATGACGTCGTTGATCGTGCCGACGACCGTGACGAAGACAACGACGATGACGTCGTTGATCGAGCCGACGACGACAATGACGTCGTTGATCGTGCCGACGACCGTGACGAAGACGACGACGATGACGTCGTTGATCGTGCCGACGATGACGACAATGACGTCGTTGATCGTGCCGACGACCGTGACGAAGACGACGACGATGACGTCGTCGATCGAGCCGACGACGACAATGACGTTGTTGATCGTGCCGACGACCGTGACGACGACGATGACGTCGTTGCCGCCTCCCTCCCCCCATCCCTCCCTCCCTGCGGTGGCGGCGTCGGTGCCGCCGGCAGGCGCTGCTGGTGTTTGCGCGCGAGGACAGCCAGAGCGACGGGTTCTGGTGGGCGTGCGAGCGCGCCGCCTACCGTTGCGCCATCGCCCACTCCGCCGAGGCGGCGCTCAACCTCGTCCTGGCCTCCCACCCGGACCTCGTGGTCGTCGACGGGCGAAGCTCGCAGCACTTCAGCGCCGAGGCCGTGTGCAGGTGAGCGTCCGGCCGCCCGCCAATTTCGCCAAATCTACCCTGCAAACCGCCCTTTCGTGGAATTACCCGACGTGCTCTCACCCACTCTGGCTCACCCATCCACGGGGGATAGAGCGTTGCCCCCTCGCACGCTTGGGCTTTCTCGGGGTGCCCCGGTTTCCTCCCGCGCGTGTACGCACTCTGTTTAATTGACTGATAAACACCTTGGTATATAGCGGACCACAGAGCTTGGGAGTGATTTGGCAACAACTCGGACTGCGTGGCTGCTGCTGCTGCTGCTTTCCCACGCCTCGCCTGTGGTGCTTCCTCCTGGCGCCTCTGAGTCGTCCTCTCTGAGTCGTCCTCTCTGAGTCGTCCCTCTGAGTCACCCTCTGAGTCGTCTCTCTTAAGTCGTCCTCTCTAAGTCGTCCCTCTGAGTCGTCCCTCTGAGTCGTCCTCTTTGAGTCGTCCCTCTGAGTGGTCCTATCCGAGTCGTCCCTTTGAGTCGTCCTCTCTGAGTCGTCCCTCTGAGTCGTCCTCTCTGAGTCGTCCTCTCTGAGTCGTCCTCTCTGAGTGGTCCTATCCGAGTCGTCCCTCTGAGTGGTCCTCTCTGAGTCGTCCCTCTGAGTGGTCCTATCCGAGTCGTCCCTCTGAGTCGTCCTCTCTGAGTCGCCCCTCTGAGTGGTCCTATCCGAGTCGTCCTCTCTCTCACTAGGGGACACCGTTCTGCGTCGTCCCGTTACAAGTTAACTTTATTATTTTGTATTTTTCTCGGGGGGGGGGGGGGGAAGTAAAATGCAACGTGACCTCGAGGTTACGAGTAATCCGAGAGACTCCGCGCGGTCTTTGACGCCGACTCGTCGCGCACCCGTTAACTCGAACCAACGTTGTAACCAAATTATTTGGCGATAATGATGATGCTGCTGCCGCCGCCGCGGCGTTGGCAGTGGTGCATCACCAACAAACAACCAACAACAACAACACTCGACACGCCGCGTGTCAAATAACAACACCGACGTTCCGGGCAATGGGCCTTCGTCATGGCACCGTAACTAGTGACGCCCGGCCTCTGGATTGTTTCCCCTGTGGCAAAGGACTCACCGGGTCTCGAGACCGGTTTTATTTTTTTTTTCTTAGGAGGCTCCCCGCTCCCAAATGTGGACGTTTTGGCCGTGGCATCACGAGAGGTTGGCTGGCTTCGTGTGGGGGGAGGAGGGAGGAGGAGGGGGAGGGGGAAGAGGGGTGAGGGGAGGAGGAACGAGGGGGGTGGGGGGGGGCAAGGAGGGAGAGAGGGGGGGAGGAGGGAGGTGGCAAGGAGGAGGTCTCAGAAAATCCAGCAGGACACGATGCTGGCTACGAGCAGGAGTGGGGAGAGTAGGGAGCATGAGGTGGGTGGGGGGGAAGGGGGTAGGATGAGGTGGGTGGTGGGGGGAGGAGGAGACCCCGGAGAAGACCCGTGCGGGACGCGCTGCTGGCTGCGAGGGGGAGCAACGCTCGATCCCGCTGTCCCGTGGCCTGCCGCTGGCGCACGCCCGGCTGGCACTCGCCAGCCTCACACCTGCTCGGCTTCCGAGATCCGACAGCATTAAGCGCATTTAGGGGTTTAGGGGAAACTAAAGAGGAGATCTTTGAGTGTATGTGTTCCTGTGTGTGTGTGCGCGTGTGCGCATGTGTGTGTGCCTGTGCGAGCGGTAGTGTAGCGGTTAGCGCGCTGCGCTATGAACTTGGTGACTCGGGTTCGATTCCCGCTCACGGCCAACACCAGTGACGATTATCTAAACCGGTCCTGGGCCTCCCCTAGGTCGACTCAGCCTCAAATGAGTACCTGGTGCGGTGGATAAAAACATTGCCACTGGGGAGACTAAGGCGGTCGGGCGTGGTACTGGCCACCCACCCCCTCGTGTACTGTTCCGGCCTTCATAGGTGCTCGCTAACAGCACTTGCCCCTACAGTCTGTTAAGGCTATACGGGGGATCTTTGTCTTTGTGTTCCTGTGTGTGTGCCTGTGTGTGTTTTTATGTGTGTGTGCGTGCGTGCCTGTGTGTGAGTGGAGAGTTTTCCATACCTGAGCAATGTTCTAATGACCGGCCCCGGTTTGACAGCAGAGGTCTAACTCCTTGTCAGTCGAGCGGCATTATCTTTTCATCGGCTGCGTAACTCTGTGTGGAAGCGACCTGGTCTATCGCTCCACACGGAGCTTCGGGTCTTTTCGGCCACGGCCATGCTTGCGAAACGTGAACCCTCCTTAATGGAACATCTTCGCCGGTTAGAAACATTTAGGCTGGCCTGCCTACAATCCATCCTGGGTTTAACCAGGCTGGATTGTGTGAGGAGCTCACAAATCCTGAAAAGATATGGACAAAGTCCCATCGGTGAGCTCCTCCGGCAGGCAAGGCTGCGTTGGCTGGGCCATGTAGCCCACATGCCCAGCCACCACATGCCTAAACAGCTTTTGTTTGGCCGGATAAAGGGGGCTAAATGGCCGTGGCATCGGTTAGAGAAGAGATGGAGCTGATGTGGTACAAGAAGATGTGGAGCTGAGTGGACCTGCCGATGACCGGTACCAGCGGTGTCAAGATGGGTCTCTGTGGAGGAGGCTCGTGAAGGACGCTGCTGCTGCTGCTGCTGGGCAGTTGGAGGCAGTCGCCCTCCAGCAACAACGGAGGGCAGAGGAGCGACGCTCACAACAATGAGCGGAGCGCCGAGCAGCTCGCTAACAGCACTTGCCCCAACAGTCTGTTAAAGCTACACGGGGGATCTTCGTATTTGTCTTTGTGTGTGTGTGTGCAGGTCTATAAGGGCGACGAAGGATTCGGAGCACACAGTGCTGGTGGTAGTAACTAGAAAAATGTGAGTTCTCGCGTATACCACCACAACCACAATCACCACAACCACAATCACCACAACCACAATTACCACATCCACAATCACCACAACCACCACCACAACCACCATAACCACAATCACCACAACCACCGCAACCACTCCCACCACCACAACCACTCCCACCACCACAACCACAATCACCACAACCACCACAACCACAATCACCACAACCACCACAACCACAATCACCACAACCACCACAACCACCACAACCACAATCACCACAACCACAATCACCACAACCACGACAACCGTCACCAACACCATCGATTGAACGATTTTATCAGACGGACAAATTAAATTCAGTCGCCCCCACGTGGATTTGAGGCCCCTGCGCTGGCTTCACGTCGAGCAGCTCAGGGTTGGATTCTCACGGTGTGTGTGTGCGTGTGTGCACGCGTACACGCACGGTATGTGCGCACGCAGGCACGGTGTGTGTGTGTGTGCGCACGCACGGTGTGTGTGTGTGTGTGCACGCACGGTGTGTGCGCACGCAGGCACGGTGTGTGTGTGTGTGCGCACACACGGTGTGTGTGTGTGTGTGTGCACGCACGGTGTGTGTGTGTGCACGCACGGTGTGTGTGTGTGCACGCACGGTGTGTGTGTGTGCACGCGCACGGTGTGTGTGTGTGCACGCACGGTGTGTGTGTGTGCACGCACGGTGTGTGTGTGTGCACGCGCACGGTGTGTGTGTGTATGTGCACGCGCACACGAATGGTGTGTGTGTGTGCGCACGCACGGTGTGTGTGTGTGTGTGTGCACGCACGGTGTGTGTGTGTGTGTGTGCACGCGCACGCATGGTGTGTGTGTGTGCACGCGCACGGTGTGTGTGTGTGTGTGTGCACACCGTGCGTGCACACAGCGGTTAGCGCACCGCGCCACAAAGGCGGTGACTGGAGTTTATGGGTAGTGTTAGTCTATGTGTAGTGTTAGTCTATGTGTAGTGTTAGTCTATGTGTAGTGTTAGTCTATGTGTAGTGTTAGTCTATGTGTAGTGTTAGTCTATGTGTAGTGTTAGTCTATGTGTAGTGTTAGTCTATGTGTAGTGTTAGTCTATGTGTAGTGTTAGTCTATGTGCAGTGTTAGTCTATGTGCAGTGTTAGTCTATGTGTAGTGTTAGTCTATGGGTAGTGTTAGTCTATGGGTAGTGTAGTGTTAGTCTAAGTGCAGTGTTGAGTCTATGTGCAGTGTTGAGTCTATGGGTAGTGTAGTGTTAGTCTATGTGCAGTGTTAGTCTATGTGCAGTGTTAGTCTATGTGTAGTGTTAGTCTATGGGTAGTGTTAGTCTATGGGTAGTGTAGTGTTAGTCTATGTGCAGTGTTGAGTCTATGTGCAGTGTTGAGTCTATGGGTAGTGTAGTGTTAGTCTATGTGTAGTGTTGAGTCTATGGGTAGTGTAGTCTTAGTCTATGTGCAGTGTTGAGTCTATGGGTAGTGTAGTGTTAGTCTATGTGCAGTGTTGAGTCTATGGGTAGTGTAGTGTTAGTCTATGTGCGGTTTTAGTCTATGTGCAGTGTTGAGTCTATGGGTAGTGTAGTGTTAGTCTATGTGTAGTGTTGAGTCTATGGGTAGTGTAGTGTTAGTCTATGTGCAGTGTTGAGTCTATGGGTAATGTAGTGTTAGTCTATGTGCAGTGTTGAGTCTATGGGTAGTGTAGTGTTACTCTATGTGCAGTGTTAAGTCTATGGGTAGTGTTGAGTCTATGGGTAGTGTAGTGTTAGTCTATGTGCAGTGTTGAGTCTATGGGTAGTGTAGTGTTAGTCTATGTGCAGTGTTGAGTCTATGTGCAGTGTTGAGTCTATGGGTAGTGTAGTGTTAGTCTATGTGTATTGTTAGTCTATGGCTAGTGTAGTGTTAGTCTATGCGCAGTGTTGAGTCTATGTGTATTGTTAGTCTATGGGTAGTGTAGCGTTAGTCTATGTGCAGTGTTGAGTCTATGTGCAGTGTTGAGTCTATGGGTAGTGTAATGTTAGTCTATGTGCAGTGTTGAGTCTATGTGCAGTGTTGAGTCTATGGGTAGTGCAGTGTTAGTCTATGTGCAGTGTTGAGTCTATGGGTAGTGTTAGTCTATGTGTAGTGTTAGTCTATGTGCACTGTTAGTCTATTGTGCAGTGTTAGTCTATGTGCAGTACGTATGTTTGTTGGACTTCTTTCGCACCATACGTAGCCAACTGTGCTAATCGGAGTGTGCTTCTCACAAACAGCACTTGCCCCAACAGCATGTTAAAGGCTAGACGGGGAATCTTTGTCTTGTGTGTGGGTGTCTCTCTCTTCCCGACCCACACCCGTGTCCAACTCAGACCGTCTGATCAGGAGGAGGAGGAAAGCATCCTGCCCCTGCTAACGGCTGGCTTCACACGGGTAAGCAAGCGAGAGCCCATGAACTGCGTAACTCGCAGAGAAACGATCGGCCGATGAATCTTCTCCAACTGTAATCGACTCCTCTTAGTGTGGTCGATTACTCGGGCCCCCTTTAAAAGAGGGGTGCCCCCCTCCCACCCTGCTCCGCCCCCGCCCCATGTGGAGGAGATATGGGGGGGGGGGGGGGGGGTGCTGACACGGTTTAGAGAATCGTTCACAGATTTTTTTGGAAAAAATGTGAAAATCAAATGAGACTTGGCACCACAGGGACAAATTCCACACCAGCACGTGGGGACGTGTGTGCGTGTGTGCGTGCGCGCTAGAGGGGTGTGCGTGTGTGTGCTAGAGGTGTGGGTGGGGACGTGTGTGTGTGTGTGCGCTAAAGGCGTTGCGTGTGTGTGTGCTAGAGTGGTAGCAAAGTGGTTAGCGCACTCCGCTAAGAACTCAACTACCCGAGTTCGATTCCTGCTCACCGTCAACACCAGGAACGATTATCTGAACCGGTCCTGGGGCCTCATCCCCTAGGTCGACTCAGCCTCAAATGAGTACCTGGTGCGGTGTGTAAATATCGCCACTGGGGAGACAAAGACGGCCGGGTTTGGTGTTGGCCCCCCACCACCTCGTGTGCTGTGCCGGCCTTCATAGGTGCTCGCTAACAGCACTTGCCCCAACAGTCTGTTAAGGTTATACCGGGAATCTTTGTTCTTGTTTTTCGAGGTGTGGGTGTGAGGTGTATGTGTGCTAGAGGTGTGGGGTCTGTGTGTGTGTGTGTGCTAAAGGTGTGTGTGTGTGTGCACTGGAGGTGTGGTGAGTGTGTGTGTGTGTGTGGAGAGCAGTAGTGCGGTGAGGGCGCTGCACTACGAACCCGGCTGCCCGAGTTCAATTCCCGCTCACGGCCACCAACACCGGTGACGATTATCTGGAACCGGTCCTGGGCCTTCCCTAGGGCGACTCGGCCTCAAATGAGCAGATTGTATGAACATCGTCACTCGGGGGACGAGGGAGGCCAGGGCACGGTGCTGGCCACCCACCCCGCTCGTGTGCCGTGCCGGCCTTCGCAGGCCCTCCTCGCTGACAGCACTTGGCCCCGACAGTCTGCTAAGGCTACACGGGGCGGGCGGGCGGGCGGGGGTGGGTGGACTTTTGTCTTTGTAGAGGTTCGTGGAGGACCACCGAGTGAGCGTCTGCTACAACGAGCTGCTTCAGCTGGAGCACGGGGAGCTCCGCGCCAGCTTCAAACTCAGGTGCGCGAACCTCGCCTGTGTTACCCTGACTCCTCCGACCATCGATCGCCCACTCATCACCCTTCCATCTTCCATCGATCACCCATGGATCACCCCTCGATCGCCCATTGATCGCTCATTGATCATCCTTCCATCTCCCATCGATCACCCACGGATCACTCATGGATCACCCATTGATCGCCCATTCATCAAACTTCCTTCTTCCATCGATCACCCATGGATCACCCCTCGATCGCCCATTGATCGCTCATTGATCATCCTTCCATCTCCCATCGATCACCCACGGATCACTCATGGATCACCCATTGATCACCAATTGATCACACTTCGATCAATATTGAATCACCCTTTGATCTCCATCCAATGGCACACTGAGCACACATTGGTCACCCTTGAATTACCCATCGATCACTCATTGACCCCCCCTTCCATCTCACATCGATCACCAATTGATGACTCATATATCACTCATTGACCACCCTTCGATCTCCCATCGATCTCCCATCGATCTCCCATCGATCACCCATCGATCACCCATCGATCACTCATCATTCATCCTTCGAGGTCTCCCATCGATCGCCCATCGGCCCTACGCTTTACCCCCACCAGATGCGACCTGCCGATCACGACCAACTGGGGTGTTTCCGTTCTTACCGCCCGGTGTGGAACTTGTGCCATCGTTTAAACTGCCGCGGCCGGCGGATCAGACCAGCAACACCCCCCCCCTAATTAATTTTAATGAAAGAGATGTCCTGCTCGATTGAGCATTGAGGCATCGGTGGGTGCACGTCTCCCCACTTTACAGCTGTCGCAGAGCCAGTGGTGGAAATTCCACGTTCCTATGGCAGGTGCGAGCCTATCGAGAGGGACGACCCACCGTTGGCTTCCCCACGGAGTGGCGCTCGTTTCTATCGCGCGCCCGGACGGACGACGGTGCCGAGTAGACGCCCGAGCGGGACGGCGAGTTGAGGGAGCTTCGGACCGCGAGCCGCTCGCTCTGCCGCCGAGCCCTCCGGCAGTAATTTATAACGAATCGTGCTAGCTGGTGGTGGCGGCGATGGTGAAGGCGACGATGGAGACGACGGTGACGATGATGACGAAGGTGGCGATGGTGATGGTGGCGGCGATGGTGAAGGCGACGATGGAGACGTTGATGATGGTGGCGACGATGACGACGAAGGTGACGATGGTGATGGTGGCGGCGATGATGATGATGACGAAGGTGATGGTGACGATGGTGACAATGGTGACGATGATGAAGGTGATGACGGTCACGGCAACAATGATGACGATGATAGTGACGATGGTGATGATGACGAGATGACGATGGTGACTGCAATGACGACGACGATAATGATGATGGCGATGACGATGATGACGGTGACGACGACGGTGAATGTGCGGTGGCGGTGTGGCGAGCGCAGGGCGTGCAACGCGCTGCTGGCCGCGCTGCAGCGCTGCCACGACGCGGTGGAGATCACGAGCGAGGATCACGTGATACAGGTGGGGGACGCGCCGCACGTTCACCGCCGCGTACGCAGTTACACGTGAATGCGCGGACGTGGTTACGCGTGAACGCGGTTACGTGTGAACACGTGTATGCGGTTACACGTGAATGCGCGGACGTGGTTACGCGTGTACGTGGTTACGCGTGTACGTGGTTACGCGTGAACGCCTGTATGCGGTTACACGTGAACGCGTGCGCGTGGTTACACGTGTACGCGCCGTGTACACCCATGTTGGGCGCATGTTTTGGGCACATTTTTGCATAAATGTCAGGTGCGTGGTGCGTACGTATCGGGCACTTGTTGTATTCACGTTGGTTACGTGCACACAATGTGTATGCAACGTGTAAACAAAACGAGTGGCACACGCACCATGCACACAACATGTACGCAGCATGTACATGCGATGTAAGCACCACGTCCGTCCGTGCGTCCGTCCGCGTGTCCATCCGTGCGTCCGCGTCCGTCCGTCTGGTTCATCCCATCGTGCGTCCGTCCGCACGTCCATCCGTGTGTCTGTCCCGCCGTGTGTCCGCCTGTGGCCTCGCCGTGCCGGTGCAGTACGTGAACCCGGCGTTCGAGCGCGCCACGGGATTCTCGTCGGACGAGCTGGTGGGCCGCACCGCCCCGGAGCGCGCCCTCGGCTCGGACGCCCGCGCCCACGGGCAGCCGGCGCTCGCTCGCGCTCACGCTCACGGCTCGCGGAATCAGCGGCGGGAGCGCGGCTCGGAACCCGACGAGCAGCAGCAGCAGCCGGCGCCGGCGCCGCCGCCACCGCCGCCGCCGCCGCCGCCAGAGGAGCCGCTCGCCGACGATGACGACGATGACGGCGACTTTGACGGCGGTGCGGACGATGGCCAGCGGCGCCAGCGGCAGCGGCAGCGGCAGCAGCAGCAGGAGGAGGAGGAGGAGGACGGCGATTTGATCACGGACCAGCACAGCAAGGTGCTTGTGTGGTGGTGCAGCGGTTGGCGCCGCGCCGCACCGCGAACCCCGCGGCCAGAGTTCGATTCCCGCTCGCGGCCGACGCCGGTGACGATTGTCTGAACCGGGTCCTGGGCCCTCCCCTAAGTCGACTCGGCTTCAAATGAGTACCTGGTGCGATGCCGTAAATATCGCCGCTGGGGGAGACAAAGGCGGCCGGGCGTGGTGCTGGCCACCCAGCCGCTCGTGCTCCGTGCCAGCCTTCATAGGTGCTCGCTAACAGCACTTGCCCCGACAGTCTGTTGAGGGGAGGTGGTCGGGAGGGAAACTTTTTCTTGTGTGTGTGTGTGCGTGCACCTAGCCTGGCGCAGACGCCGCGTTGGCATCACCGCCGCGTAGTGGCATATGCGCTTACGTGATTGTGTGTGCACGTTCGTGTTCCAGGAATGGAAGGGGACTCTGTACACGAAGTGCAAGTCAGGGAAGACGATCAAACAGATCGCAACGGTCATTCCTGTCATTGGGCAGGGCGGGTGAGATCTCACACACACACACACGGACACAACAACAACAACATACGCCATTCGCTACTAAGTGGCAGTGACGTCACCACGGCGTTTGTGCCACGCAATGTGCACGTTAAGGCCACGTGAAGTGTCGAACAGTCATACTCGGACACACACACACGGACACGCACACACTCACGGACACACACACACGGACAAACACACTCAAGGACACACACACACGGACACACACGGACACACACGGACAAACACGCACACACTCACGGACACACATACACGGACAAACACACTCACGGACACACACACGGACAAACACACGCGGACAAACACACACATGGACACACACACACGGATACACACGGGCACGCACACACTCACGGACACACACACACGGACAAACACACACACGGACACACAACAACAACAACCGCCATTCGCCACTAAGTGGCGGTGACGTCACCACGACGCTTGTGCCAGGCCATGTGCACCTTGAGGCCACGTGAAGTGTCGAACGCCCGCTGGCAGGAGGTCACGGGGCAGACCCAGGTGCCACAGGTCGACTGACTGAGATGACTGAGATGACTGGCTGATGCATCACCTGTGCCCCCTACTGTGCCAACTTGCTGTGCTTTAGCCACCCGGCACTCCGCTCGTTGTTGTGAGCGTCGCTCCTCCGCCCTCCGTTGTTGTTGGAGGGCGACTGCCTCCAACTGCCCAGTAGCGTCCTTCACGAGCCTCCTCCACTGAGGCCGATCTTGACACCGCTGGTACCAGTCATCGGCAAGTCCACTCAGCTCCACGTCCTCCTGTACCACATCACTCCATCTCTTCTCTAGCCCACGCCGCGCCCGTTTAGCCGTTTCAAGGATTTGTGAGCTCCTCACACAATCCAGCCTGGGTAAACCCAGGATGGATCGTAGGCAGGCCAGCCTAAATGTTTCTAACCGGTGAAGATGTTCCATTAAGGGGGTCCAGGTTTCGCAAGCGTAGAGAAGGGAGGGAATGACCGTGGCCGAGAAGACCTGAAGCTTAGTGCGGAGCGACAGACCAGGTAGCTTCCACACAGCGTTACGCAACCGATGAAAAGATATTGCCACTCGACTGATTCTGAGTGAGACCTCTGCTGTTAAACCGGAGCCGGTCATGAGCACACACGGACACACACGCACACGGACAAACACACGCACGGACACGCACACGGACACGGAAATTGGAGCGGCGACGGACAAACGTTTTTCACCTCGCTCAGCCGCTCTTGGCCTGTCCGTCCGTCCGTCTGTCCATCCTCACCGCTGTTGTCCGTGTCTCCTGGCTGACTCGCAGGTGGACGAGACATTTCGTGTCCGTACGGTGCCCGTGCAGCGACAATGCCACGCAGGTAAAGCTCGCTTCAACCAGGCAGCGTGGGAGGGAGGGAGGGAGGGAAAGATGGAGGGAGCGAGGGAGGGAACGCGGGAGTGAAGGAGTGGTGGGGAAGGAGTGAGGGAGGGAGTTAAGGAGTGTGTTGGAGAGAAGGAGTGAGGGAGGGAGTGAAGGAGTGTAGGAACGAGGGAGTGTGCGAGTGTGCGAGTGTGGGAATGAGGGAGTGAGGGAGGGGAGTGAAGGAGTGTGGGAGTGTGGGAATGAGGGAGAGGGAGGGGATTGAGGGAGGGAGTGAAGGAGTGTGGGAGTGACGGAGGGGAGGTATCGAGGGAGCGAGGGAATGAGGGAGGGAGTGAGGGAGCAAGTTGTCCTCTCTCTCTCTCCGAGTCGTCCCCCTCTCTCCGTCTTCGAGAGCGACGAGCGGACACTGAAACGCCGCCGCAGGAAGTGACACCACTGCATGTGCGTGCCTGCGTGCGAGCGTTCGTGCACATTGTGGGGAGCAGCGGTCAGCGCGCGGTGACCCGCAAACCCGGTGACCCGAGCTCCATTCCCAGGTCAACTCGGCCTTAAATGAGCACCTGGTGCAGTGTGTACAAAGCACCGGTATTGTGGGGAGACAAAGGCGGCCGGGCGTGGCGTTTGCCACACCGCTGCCCCGCGCGTGCGCCCTGCCCGGCCCGCACGGGTGCCCCGCGAGCCCCGCCGCCACTTGCCCCCAGGAGTCTGCTCCAGGCCACACCACGGTGGGGTGGGGTGGGGGTGGGGGGGGAGACTCCCTTTCCTTGTCTTCTTTTCTCGTGCACACCTGCAGGGTGAAGGGATACACAGGGAGGAGCGTGGGCGTGCGGGCAGCGTTCACACAGGTGCGTATCCCTCCACCGCGCCCGGCCCCCCAACTCCTCGCCCCACCGCCGCCACCCATCCACGGTTCCCCAGCAAGGATAGCGAGTCGATCCCCCATCGATCGGTCAACCGAAATTGCGAACGGACGCTTTTTATTTTTCCGCTGGACGATTACTTGGCATTTGAACCCCCAGCCGCCTCCTCCCTGCCTCCGCACTTCCTGCCTACCGAAGGCTCTTAACCCCCCCCCAACCCCCCCCCCCCCCCAACACCTCCCGTCCAGCGACACACGTTGGGGACAGAGGCGAGGAATTTTTTTTTTCATCCCCGCACCTGTGTCATCGAGTTATCGGACCAGTCGAGTTACGGGAACGACGACCCGGTGAGTGATCCGATTAATTGAGTAGTCGAGCGGCGCCCTCCCCAACGTCACTACTTGAGCAATCGGCTCGCGATCGCCTCCCCTTTAACGTAACGCCATTATTGAAACCTCGCGCGATATGAACTCGCGCTTATTTTTGTGATGCGCGCACTACATGTTGAAATAACGCGCTCCAGCCGCGTTGGGCCACTGGGTGCGGAGCGTGTTGCGAGCTCATCGTTAGTCGGGCAAGCAAAGTTCAGTCGCGATGCTGCCTGAGGTGCAGTACAACCAGCGCAAGCGCGGGGAAGCAGCATCGGCAGCTTCTTCTCGCGAGGCATTTTTAAGAACTCTGTCCAGTGCGCCCATCTGCCTGCCAGCATGTCCGGTAGGAATCTCACCACGTGTTCGCTTAATTAACGAAAATATTATATCCTTTAAAATAGGCTGTTACTATCTTTAATACGTGGTATGGTGGCATTGTAAATATAATACGCGCCGTAACCAGTGAAACATGTGGACGCAGGCATGAGGTTGGACAGCGTGCGCTCCCCAACCCTAACCATTTCCTTGATTTCATTAGACCTCCTTTGCCAGTACCAAAATGTAATGATAGGGTTTTTCCCCTTTTTTTTTGGCAACACAACTGAAACCTTTTAAAGAGGATTCATGTTTACTGCATTAACCACAATACCTGCAGTCAAAATGCAAACAAAAAACATACTATGATAATATATGCATTGTCTTTTGAAACGGATTGGTCCACACCAAGGGACGGCTTTCTTATGGGAAAATGACGTTTTGGTTCACGCGATTTTGAGTTACGCTCCGTTATTCAAGAACGCCACCCACGCCGTCAAACGAGGGGAAGCCGTACAGACAGAGGCGGCGGGCAGGCCGGTCGTGGCGTTGACCACCCAACACCCCTTGTGCGCTGTACCGGCCTTCACAGGTGCTGCCACTCTCTAGCAGCACTTGCCCAAACATTCTGTTCGGGTTTATACGGGGGGGGGGGGGGGGATCTTTGTCGATGCGTTTTGAGTGTGTTTGTGTGTGGAATTGTGTGTATGGGGAGCGATAGTGTAGCGGTTAGCGCGCTGCGCTATGAACCTGGCGACCCGGGTTCGATTCCCGCTCACGGCCAACGCCAGTGACGATTATCTGAACCGGTCCCGGGCCTCCCCTAGGTCGACTCAGCCTCAAATGAGTACCTGGTGCGGTGTGTAAACATTCCCACTAGGGAGACAAAGGCGGTCGGGCGTGGTGTTGGCCACCCACCCCCTCGTGTACCGTTACCGGCCTTCATAGGTGCTCGCTAACAGCACTTGCCCCTACAGTCTGTTAAGGCTATATGGGGGATCTTTGTCTCTTGATCTTTATGTGTCTTCGTACTGTGTTTCTTATCTGTATGTGTGTGAACGTGAGTGTGTGTGTGTGTGTCTTGGTATGCCTATGTATGTGTGTCTTGTGTGTCTATGTGTGTCTATGTGTGTCTGTGTGTGTCACTGTGTGTCTGTGTGTCACTGTGTGTCTGCGTGCATGTGGGGAGCACTGCGCTACGAACCCGGAGACCCGAGTTCGATACCCGTTCACAGCCAACATCAGCGACGATTATCTTAACCGGTCCTGGGCGTCTCCTAGGTCGACTCAGCCTCAAACGAGTACCCAGTGCAGTGTGTAAACATCCCCACTGGGGATACAAAGGCGGCCAGGCGTGGTGTTGGCCACCCACCCCTTCGTGCCTTCATAGACACAACTCGCAAACAGCACTTGCCCCACAAGTCTGTTGAAGGCTATAACAAGGGGATCTTTGTGTTTGTCTATGTGCGGTGTGTGTGTGTCTGTGTGCACGTGTGTGTGGGGCAGACGGACACTCACAGAGACACAAGGACCGGAGGAAAAGCTCTCTCGACGTTCGTTCTAACACGTCCCGAGGCAGTGATGGTGCGGAGACACACGGGGGGGAGAGACACACGGGGAGACATCTGGAGACACACGGGGAGACATCTGGAGACACACTGGAGACACACGGGGGGGAGAGACACACGGGGAGACATCTGGAGACACACGGGGAGACATCTGGAGACACACTGGAGACACACTGGGGGGGAGAGACACACGGGGAGACATCTGGAGACACACGGGGAGACATCTGGAGACACACTGGAGACACACGGGGGGGAGAGACACACGGGGAGACATCTGGAGACACACGGGGAGACATCTGGAGACACACGGGGGGGGAGAGACACACGGGGAGACATCTGGAGACACACGGGGAGACATCTGGAGACACACTGGAGACACACTGGGGGGGGAGAGACACAGGGGGGAGAGACACACGGGGAGACATCTGGAGACACACTGGAGACACACTGGGGGGGGAGACCTGGAGACACACGGGCAGATGGGGGGAGACACAGAGAGACATGGGGGGAGACACGTGGAGACACACGAGAAGACATGGGGGGGGGGGGAGGGGGGTTATATATTGAGATACATGGGAAGACATGGGGGGGGGGGAGAGACGGGGGGGGGGAGAAACGGGTGGGGGGGACATGGGGTGGAGGGAAGACACATGGAGACACACGGGGAGACACGGGGGAGAGATGCATGGAGACACAAATAGACGTGCAAAGAGACATGGGGAGACACACGGAGACATGGAGAGACACGCGGAGAGACGCAAAACATGGGGAGGCACGCGGGGACACGCAAAGAGACACCGGTGGACATGTATGGAGACACGGGGAGACACAGGAGATACGATGAGATTTGGGGGGAAAAATTAAGAGACGGTGGGGGGGAGGGACACAAGAAGACACAGGGACATGAAGGCAGACACAGGGAGACACGCAGGGGACACATACGGAGACAGGACATGGACAAGTATACAGACGTGGAGTGCGTGCGTCAGTGTGTGCCCTATATGACATCATAACAACAGTCTGGACCACTGGACGGGTTCCACAGGATTGGAAGGATGCCCTGGTGGTCCCCCTCTTTAAGAAGGGGGACCGCACAGACTGTAACAACTACAGGGGCATCTCACTCCTCAGTGTGCCGGGAAAGGTCCTGGCAAGGATTATGCAACATCGCCTTGCCAGGCACACTGAGGAGAGGCTTGGGGAGCCCCAATGCGGTTTCAGGAAAGGGCGGTCCTGCACAGATGCCATATTTTCTGTCCATCTGCTATAGCAGAGGTGTAGGGAATTCCAACAAGACCTACATCTCTGCTTTTTTGACCTGGTCAAGGCCTATGATACCATCAGTAGGCCTGGGCTCTAGGTTGTTCTTCGTGCTTTTGAAGTCCCTGACCCTCTGCTCACGATCATTAAGGACCTTCTTGATGGTGAGCGGGCCCGGGTAAAACTACGTGGCCGGGAGTCAGAGCCATTCCCTGTACACCTTGGGGTGTGACAGGGATGTCCTCTGGCTCCCACATTATTTAACATCTATTTTGACCACGTAGTTCGTGAAGCCTTCAATAGCTGTACCGGGGGAATCTCCATTTGGTACAGATATAATGGGAGGCTGATCGATGCCCGGGTGCGGTCAAGGGATGGCTCCCTATTGCTCAACCACGTTATGTTTGCCGATGATTTGGTAATCGCTGCTCATTCAGAGGAGGAGTTGGAGACGCTGCTGCTGAGACTGGAGCGTTCCACTAAGAGATGGGGCCTTACCATCAGCCCCACCAAAACTAAGCACCTGCCTGGGTATTTTGTACCATCGGACACGCCACCCCCACAACTCCCAATCGGTGATGGGGCAGTTGTGGAGAGAGTGGAGAGTTTCCCATACCTGGACAGTGTGCTTATGACCGGCTCCGGTTTAACAGCAGAGGTCTCACTCCGAATCAGTCGAGCGGCAATATATTTTCATCGGTTGCGTAACGCTGTGTGGAAGCTACCTGGTCTGTCGCTCCGCACTAAGCTTCAGGTCTTCTCGGCCACGGTCATTCCCTCCCTTCTCTACGCTTGCGAAACGTGGACCCCCATAATGGAACATCTTTGCCGGTTAGAAACATTTAGGCTAGCCTGCCTACGATCCATCCTGGGATTAACCAGGCTGGATTGTGTGAGGAGCTCACAAATCCTCGAAGGATCTGGGCAAGGTCCCATCGTTGAGCTCCTCCGGCAGGCAAGGCTGCGTTGGCTGGGTCATGTAGCCCGCATGCCCAGCCACCGCATGCCGAAACAGCTTTTGTTCGGCCGGATCAAGGGGGCTAAACGGGCGCAGCGTGGGCTAGAGAAGAGATGGAGTGAGGTGGTACAGGAGGACGTGGAACTGAGTGGACTTGCCGATGACTGGTACCAGCGGTGTCAAGATCGGCCTCTGTGCAGTAGGCTCGTGAAGGACGCTACTGGGCAGTTGGAGGCAGTCGCCCTCCAACAACAACGGAGGGCGGAGGAGCAACGCTCACAACAACGAGCGGAGCGCCGGGTGGCTAAAGCACAGCAGGTTGGCACAGTAGGGGGCACAGGTGGTGCATCAGCCAGTCATCTCAGTCATCTCAGTCAGTCGACCCATGGCACCTGGGTCTGCCCCGTGACCTCCTGCCAGCGGGCGTTCGACACTTTACGTGGCCTCAAGGTGCACATGGCCTGGCACAAGCGTCGTGGTGACGTCACCGCCACTTAGTGGCGAATGGCGGTTGTTGTTGTGTGTGTGCATGTGTCTGTGTGCGCGTGTGCCTTGTGGACAAGTGCATATCTTGTACTTGCATCTGTGTGTCTCTGTGTAATCGTGTTCGTATGTATGTGTGTGTGTTGTTGGTCAAGCGCGGTGCTGGCCACCCACCTCCTGGTGTACCGTGCCTGTCTTCGCCAACAGCCCTTGCCCCGACAGTCTTTTAACGCTACACTGGCGACCTTTGTCTTTCGTGTGGCTGCAGGAGGCAGCGTTCACCACCGGAGAAACTCGTCCATGGCGCGAATTCACTCGATGACCATCGAGGCCCCCATCACCAAGGTGCTCGCTACCCCCACCAGCACCCATCACGTCACTGACCTCCGACCCCACTGGCGCCGCCCCACCCCCCATCATGTCACTGACCTCCGACCCCACTGCCGCCGCCCCTCCACTCCCCACACGTCACTGACCTCCGACCCCGCTGCCACCGCCCCTCCCGCCCCTCCCGCCCCCCCATCATGTCACTGACCTCCGACCCCACTGCCACCCCCCTCCTCCCCTACACCAGCTGACCATCATTGGTGCTACACTCGATATATGTCGCTGACCTCTGACCCCACTGCCGCCTCCCCCCCGCCATCACGTCGCTGACCTCCGACCCCACTTCCCCTCCCCCCGCCCCGCCCCCTCCTCCCCACGCGCCAGGTGATCAACATCATCAACGCGGCCCAGGAGAGCAGTCCCGTGTCGGTGGCGGAGGCTCTGGACCGCGTGCTCGAGATCCTGAGGACCACGGAGCTCTACTCGCCGCAGCTGGGCTCGCGCGACGACGACCCTCACGCCAGCGACCTCGTCGGGGGGCTCATGACGGTGACGGGGGGCGGGGGGGGGGGCGGGAGGGTTGGGTGGGGGGAGGCAGGAAGGATGTGGTGGTGGTGGTGGTGGTGGTCGTACAGCACCCAGTTCGCTAACTCGCTCGCTCGCCCACCGGCGGTTAGCGGCCTGCCCATCGCTCATCTATCGCTATGACTACTGCTGCCGTGGTTACAGTTACATCCACCACCACACCGTGTTCAGCCGCCACCACACTACAGGCCCCAAAACAACACTCACCCTCCAGATGGAAATTCCTCTGGTACAGCCATCGAAGGCTTCACGAACTACGTGGTCGAAATAGATGTTAAATAATGTGGGAGCCAGAGGACATCCTTGTCACACCCCAAGGTGAACAGGGGATGGCTTCGACTCCCGGCCACGTAGTTTTACCCGGACCCGCTCACAATCATGAAGGTCCTTAATGATCATGAGCAGCGGGTTAGGGACTCCGAAAGCACAAAGAACAACCCAGAGCCCAGGCCTACTGATGGTATCATAGGCCTTGACCAGGTCAATAAAGCAGAGATGTAGGTCTTGTTGGAATTCTCTACACATTCACCCACAAACTCACCCAACCATACATTCACCCACTCACTCATACACTCACCTACCCACTCAGACTCATGCAACACACTGCATGCCACAGCAACATTCACCCACACATTCACTTATACACTCACCCACCCACCCACTCGCACACTCACGCAGCACACTGCAGGCCACAGGAATACTCACCTACCCACTCATACACTCACCCACCCACTCACTCACCCACAAACCCACCCACTCACTCACCCACAAACCCACCCACCCACTCACTCACCCACAAACCCACCCACCCACCCACTCACTCACCCACAAACCCACCCACCCACCCACTCACCCACAAACCCACCCAACCACACACTCACTCACCCACAAACCCACCCACTCACCCACAAACCCACCCACCCACCCACTCACCCACAAACCCACCCACCCACACACTCACCCACAAACCCACCCACCACCCACCCACTCACCCACAAACCCACCCAACCACACACTCACCCATAAACCCACCCAACCACACACTCACCCACAAACCCACCCACCCACTCACCCACAAACCCACCCAACCACCCACTCACTCACCCACAAACCCACCCACCACACACTCACTCACCCACAAACCCACCCAACCACACACTCACTCACCCACAAACCCACCCAACCACCCACTCACTCACCCAAACCACCCCAACCACACACTCACTCACCCACAAACCCACCCAACCACACACTCACTCACCCACAAACCCACCCACCCACTCACCACAAACCCACCCAACCACACACTCACCACACAAACCCACCCAACCACCAACTCACTCACCCACAAACCCACCCAACCACACACCACCCACAAACCCACCCACCCACCCACTCACTCACCCACAAAGCCACCCAACCACACACTCACTCACCCACAAACCCACCCAACCACACACTCACTCACCCACAAACCCACCCACCCACTCACCCACAAACCCACCCAACCACACACTCACTCACCCACAAACCCACCCACCCACTCACCCACAAACCCACCCAACCACACACTCACTCACCCACAAACCCACCCACCCACCCACTCACCCACAAACCCACCCACCCACCCACTCACCCACAAACCACCCACCCACCCATCACCAACAAACCACCCAACCACACACTCACCCACAAACCCACCCACCCACCCACCCACTCACGTCACCCACAAACCCACCCACCCACCCACAAACCCACCCAACCACACACTCACTCACCCACAAACCACCCACCCACCCACTCACTCACCCACAAACCCACCCACCCACCACTCACCCACAAACCCACCCAACCACACACTCACCCACAAACCCACCCACTCACCCACAAACCCACCCAACCACACACTCACTCACCCACAAACCAACCACCCACCCACTCACTCACCCACAAACCCACCCACCCACCCACTCACCCACAAACCTACCCAACCACACACTCACCCACAAACCCACCCAACCACCCACTCACTCACCCACAAACCCACCCAACCACACACTCACCCACAAACCCACTCAACCACACACTCACCCACAAACCCACCCAACCACACACTCACTCACCCACAAACCCACCCAACACACCACTCACCCACTAACCCACCCACTCACCCACAAACCCCACCCACCCACCCACTCACCCACAAACCCACCCAACCACACACTCACCCACAAACCCACCCAACCACCCCCACCCACTCACTCACCCACAAACCCACCCAACCACACACTCACCCACAAACCCACCCAACCACACACTCACTCACCCACAAACCCACCCAACCACACACTCACCCACTAAGTCCACCACCCACTCACCCACAAACCCACCCACCCACCCACTCACCCACAAACCCACCCACCCACTCACCCACCCACCCACTCACCCACAAACTCACCCAACCACACACTCACCCACTAACCCACCCACTCACCCACCAAACCCACCCACCCACCCACTCACCCACAAAACCTACCCAACCAAACACTCACCCACAAACCCACCCAACCACCCACTCACTCACCCACAAACCCACCAACCACACACCACCCACAAACCCACTCAACCACACACTCACCCACAAACCCACCCAACCACACACTCACTCACCCACAAACCCACCCAACCACACACTCACCCACTAACCCCACCCACCCACTCACCCACAAACCCAACCCACCCACCCACTCACCCACAAACCCACCCACCACCACCACCCACTCACTCACCCACAAACCCACCCAACCACCACACTCACCCACAAACCCACCCAACCACACACTCACTCACCCACAAACCCACCAACCACACACTCACCCACTAACCCACCCACCCACCCACTCACCCACAAACCCACCCACCCACCCACTCACCCACAAACCCACCCAACCACCACCACCCACTCACGTCACCCCAAACCCACCCAACCACACACTCACCCACAAACCCACCCACCACACACTCACTCACCCACAAACCCACCCAACCACACACTCACCCACTAACCCACCCACCCACTCACCCACAAACCCACCCACCCACCCACTCACCCACAAACCCACCCACCCACTCACCCACCCACCCACCCACTCACCCACAAACTCACCCAACCACACACTCACCCACTAACCCACCCACCCACCCACTCACCACTAACCCACCCACCCACCCACTCACCCACAAACCCACCCAACCACACACTCACCCACAAACCCACCCAACCACCCACTCACTCACTCACAAACCCACCCAACCACACACTCACCCACAAACCCACCCAACCACACACTCACTCACCCACAAACCCACCCAACCACACACTCACCCACTAACCACCCACCCACCCACTCACCCACAAACCCACCCACCCACACACTCACCCACAAACCCACCCAACCACACACTCACCCACAAACCCACCCAACATCCACTCACTCACCCACAAACCCACCCAACCACACACTCACACCACAAACCCACCCAACCACAACACTCACTCACCCACAAACCCACCCACCACACACTCACCCACTAACCCACCCACCCACCCACTCACCCACAAACCCACCCACCCACCCACTCACCCACAAACCCACACACTCACTCACCCACAAACCCACCCAACCACACACTCCACCCACTAACCCACCCACCACCCACTCACCCACAAACCCACCCACTCACCCACAAACCCACCCAACCACACACTCACCCACAAACCCACCTCAACCACCCACTCACTCACCCACAAACCCAACACACACCTCACCCACAAACCCACCCAACCACACACTCACTCACCCACAAACCCACCCAACCCACACACTCACCCACTAATCCACCCACACCACCCACTCACCCACAAACCCACCCACCCACCCACTCACCCACAAACCCACCCACCCACTCACCCACAACCCACCCACCCACTCACCCACAAACCCACCCAACCACACACTCACCCACTAACCCACCCACCCACCCACTCACCACAAAACCACACCCACCCACCCACGCACCCACAACCCACCCAACCACACACTCACCACAAACCCACCCAACCACCCACTCACTTCACCCACAAACCCACCAACCACACACTCACCACAAACCCACCCAACCACACACTCACTCACCCACAAAACCCACCCAACCACACACTCACCCCACTAACCCACCCACCCACCCACTCACCCACAAACCCACCCACCCACCCCACTCACCCACAAACCCCACACACTCACTCACCCACAAACCCACCCAACCACACACTCACCCACTAACCACCACCCACCCCCACTCACCCACAAACCCACCCACCCACTCACCCACAAACCACCCAACCACACACTCACCCACAAACCCACCGTAACCACCCACTCACTCACCCACAAACCCACCCAACCACACACTCACCCACAAACCCACCCAACCACACACTCACTCACCACAAACCACCAACCACACACTCACTCACCCACAAACCCACCCAACCACACACTCACCCACTAACCCACCCACCCACTCACCCACAAACCCACCCACCCACTCACCCACAAACCCACCCACCCACCCACTCACCCACAAACCCACCCAACCACACACTCACCACTAAACCCCCCCACCCACCCCACCCACTCACCCACAAACCCACCCACCCACCCACTCACCCCAAACCCACCCAACCACACACTCACCCACTAACCCACCCACCCACCCACTCACCCACACACCCACCCACCCACCCACTCACCCACAAACCCACCCAACCACACACTCACCCACAAACCCACCCAACCACCCACTCACTCACCCACAAACCCACCCAACCACACACTCACCCACAAACCCACCCAACCACACACTCACTCACCCACAAACCCACCCAACCACACACCTCACCC